TTCCTGTAGTTCCAGAGGTTTCCAGATTCGCTGTAGCCCTGTAACTCCTAGCTCACACCATCAAAGTGGTTTCCTGAAAGATTGGGGAACTCCTATGATATGAGTTTATTAAGGTCACAACCTCATCCTATGCTGGCCATATTTGTCTCCAAGAAGAGAAGCTGCCAGCATCTAAACATTCTCCTTCTTCTCCACCTCCTCCTCCTTCGCCTCCTCCTCCTCTTTCTCTCCCTCCTCCTCTTTCTCCTCCTCCTCTTTCTTTCTCCTTCTTCAGTCTCCTTCTCCTTCTGCAGTTTCCTTCTCTTTCTCCTCCTCCTCCTCTTTCCCCAGTCTCCACCTTCTTCTCTTTCTCCTTCTCCAGACTTGTCCAATTTCCTTTTCCTCCTCCTCCTCCATTTCATCCACCTCTGAAGGTCCTTGGCTCCACTACCTCTGATTACCAGAGACCAGCAAAGCTCAAAACAGATGAGGTGAGGCTGTTCACTTGACCAATGATTTCTTCCTGAGCCACCCAGCCACTTCTCTGTCCTTTTGACAGCCAAAGTACCACAGTGACAGCCACAGTCAGATGACATTTAAAAGCTGTTATAAATTGACAGGGAGGAAACAACCTAACTAGAGACTATGTTTTACCAAGTGTTCCCGTCTGTTGCCTGATGATGGGGCAGCAATGAGAAAACGATGCTACCTCAAGGACCATCCATCACTCCTTCCATACCCTAAGATGAAGGGCATGAGTCAGAGGTTGATCCTGCCTCCTGTTTGCCCACCCACCATGCGGGCAAAGGGGAGATCCCAGGGGACACATCTGCATATGGAGGAACAGCTGGATTTGCAACCCAATCCCACCTTTTCCTCCTGCCATTCTCTGTATATAGACCTCCCACCTCAGCGACAGAGCCCATCTGGTCCTGCTACCTTTCCCCATTCGACAGGTGAGTAGGGGGGTTTTCTTCCAAATGACACTCACAGCAAAGAAATATGGCCGTGCGGAAGTGTTGGGTCCAATCCGATTTCTAGAAGACGGTTGACAGGTGGCTGATCTTTGAGTAAAGATTGAGGTGGTATTTTCAGAGAGAAACGAGTGGGTGGGAGATCTCTTGGTGAGGCACGCAACATCTGGAGTTGCCAGAAAGTTGGACTCACTCTACAAAGAAAGCAGAAGAAATTATTGATGGATTACTCCGCGTCTCTAAACAGTGGAAACTTGCTCTCTGTGTCTATGTGTGTTATAAGGTTTGGTTTGGTTTCTGTGGTCACAAGGCCACCGAAGGTTTATTGTTGTTGCATATTTGCCTTGCTGAGATTTGTGTTTATTTACTAATATACAGAGTGAGCTGATTAGAAGCAGAGCTTGGCTATCCCATCTGAAGCTTCGGAGACAACAAGACTCTAAGGTGTTTTAAGGACTCAACGGGTCCATGTTTCAAATGTCTTCTCTAAGCCCCTGGTGGGTTAGGTGCCCTCAAGTAGCTATTGGCTCTTAGCAACCAGACGGATAGATCTTCTTCAGATGATCTTGTATTCAACATCATCTCATTTCTGAAGGACCTTCTTATGAACGATTCTAGTGTCCTGAAGGAGAACACCTTGGTAGGTTCAAGGAATCCCTTANTCTCTCTCTCTCTTTCTCTCTCTCTGTCTCTCTCTCTCTTCTGTGTCTGTCTGTCTGTCTGTCTCTCTCTCTCTCTCACACACACACACTTACTTGTGTGTTTATTACATGAACACATGAATCTTTTTTTTCAGTCACCTAATGGGTAGGTGGAAGCGAAAGTCCACATATTTTAAAGCTCCCGAGATTGAGAAATCTTCTTGCTCTCTTTGAATATTGATTTAAGAGAGCCTCCTGATCATCCCATCTGTTATTAATGTGGACAGCATTATATACCCAAGTACATGTTCACTCCTGTTTCCATTGTCGGCTGTTAGAACCGCTGGGACGAGCAGCACACCTGAACCCAAGTTCACTGGAGATAACGTACCTGCCACTACTTTTTTTAAAAAAAATCAGGATTGGTGCCATTGGGGGATATTTGCAAGATCTGAAGACCTCCCCATCCTCTTTAAAATCTTCCCCTTTTCTCTGCGAAAGCGAAGCTGTAAAAAAACCCACAGAGATCTCTTTCTTTGCAGTTTTGAGCTAGAAGATAATTCAAGGATAAACCAGACCTGATGCCGCAGCTTCTTAAAACACCCAATTTACAGCTTTTAAACTTCTTAATCTTAGAGCCCAGTTAAGCCCTGGATCAAGAGAGGCTGAAATTCCAATCTCAGGCCAGCTCCAAACTTGATGGAAAGCCCATCAAGTTTGACTGGGTTCACACGACCCACTCACTCGATTCTCGATTCTCTGCTGCCAGAGTCGCGCGTGTGAACAGATCTCTCTCCCGGGAGCTGTTCTCTCCTCCCCTTTCCCAACCTTATTCTTTGATCCTAAAGGAGCAGAGATCAAGGACGGGGCGCCCAAACCAACCGCGACTTCATCAAGGTGTCCAAAGTGAGCAGGGAGGTTGGGCTAGAAGACCTCCAAGGTCCCTTCCAGCTCTATTCTGATGATGGAAGCACCGGGCAAATAATAAGGAAAAGCGAGGCAGTTGCGGACTCTCGTTTTTTCAGCCACGAAACGATCGGGGCGATTTCGGAGATGGAGAAGAAGATTCTCCCCAGGGGTCATCCAAGAGCTCGCGAGCTTCTGATTGGCGCTTCTAAGAATACCGTATATCACTTAAGTGCGGGGCCGTCGCGCGTTGCGTTCTCTTTTCTTCTCTCGTCCCAAAGTGGGACGGTTCCCTTGGCCGGTTCCCCCCCCCCCTCCTCCTCCTCCTCCTCCTCCTCCTCCTCCTC